ACAATTAAATTAAAACAAATTACGAAAAGAATTGCACTTGCAATAGTGACTATAATGGTAAGGTGCATCTTAAATTATAGGTACCACCACAATTTAAATTTTTATGATATAATTCCCTTTCTCTTAATTTCTCCATGTTCAAAATAAAAAAATTAGGAAGGAAGTTGTTGTATACAATTGTGTATAAAACCCCGAAACTCTAAATCTAACCTCTAAATATGGGGAACAAACAAATTCACTCTCAAAATTAAATATAGGGATAAATTATTTTATTAATTAATTACATTAGATAAATTACTTTAAATTTAATTATTGATAACATATGATATCCACTTTCCATTACTGTTAGTATAGATAAAAAGGCCATATAAATGAAAAAGAAAAAAGTAATGAAAAACGGATGTCACATGATGTTAACAATTATATTTAAAATAATTTATCTAATTTAATTAGTTAATAGAGTAATTTATCTTTACATTTAGTTTGAGTTTGAATCTATCCTGCCCCTTATACTTGAGGCAAATTTGGGGATTTAGCAATATAAAAAATAGAAAAGTCATTTTTGAAGAGTTGTCTATAAGATAATATTTTTGGCTAAAACTTTTATTTTACAATTTAAATTATGTTAAAGAAAAATTATTTAAAAATAATTTTTTTAATTTTTTGTATAGCTTTATGTATTATTTAAATAATTAATTTTTTTATTTATTTGAGATTTATAATATTAAATACATTTATTTATTTAATAATATGTGAAAAATATATAAAAAGTTATATAAAAATATTGTATAAAAAAGTTATCATTATATCATCATCTTTGTATCAAATTATAAAAGATTTTTCTAACATATACTCTTAAAATAATGGTTAAGAATATCCTTTTAGCATTAATTATCATTGAAAAAAATAAAATTTGCTATCTATTTAATTAATTGTCAAATTAAAACGACACATTTAGCATTAGTGATAAAATTAATGTTAATTTTTGTTATTTTCTATAGCAATTAATATAACAAAAGTGTATTAATTAATGAGTGGTGCTATAAAGACAACTTTTTCATATCATATTTTTATATAATTTTCACATGTCATTAAATGAGTAGATACATTCAATATCATGGGTTCCATTTGAATTAAAAGAACTAATCATTTTAATGATACGTCAGGTTGTATAAAACGATGGGACAAAAAAGTTTTACAAAAAACATTTCCCTTAATTATACTTTTAAACTATGTATATTTAAACTATATATATTAATTACACTTTTAATCTAAACCATTATAATACAAATTAGATAAATTTAATAATAAAATATAATTTATTGGATGAAAGTGACTCTTAATGTTATGAGCCACTCTTCACTTAGGGGTGTTCGCAATATGATTTGGTTCGAATATTAATATTTTTTAAATCAATCTAATTTAATCGGTTAATAAAATTTTTAAACCAATCCAATTCATTATTATATGATAACCAAACCAATCCAACTTAAATCGGATCTATATGATTCAGTCGGATTGATCAATTTTTAACACTATTAAATATATGAGATAACATAAAAAAATTTTAACATTAAATAAAAAATATAGCTATAAAATACATTAACATCCAAATTACTAGAAATATAATAAAATGCATAAATTATAAACAAGTTTTTATACTCATTTACAATTGTAAAAATTGAAAATATTTGGAAATTCTTCTTGACTACATCACTAGAGGCATCAAGAATAATAAAAGATAACTTTAAAATTTAAATACAGTACAAGTAATTCTTAAAGGTTAAAACTAATTTTTTTTTCCTTAATGCAGCAAATGATTCAATCCCATCTTTCAAACCTTGTTAAAAGCAATTAAAATTTAACATAAATGTCATTAAGAATGATTAGAAGCATTCATAATTAAAATTTAAAACTTCTTAACCAAATATCAAAAAATAGTAGAATATCAAATTTAGTT